CTTTTACTATCATATTTGATAGGTTTAGCTAATAGCACTGTTCCCTATCCTAATTGACTTGCATCTTTTCTACGACTATATATTCTAATTCTAAGGGAAGTTGTAGGTCGGGTAAATTTTTACAAATGTCTTTAATTTTTCTTACTAAGGCTATATCTTGTTAGTTAAAATATTTTTGTTCACTGGGTGTAGTCTTGTTATATAGAGGTCCTATTACCTTGCTAAGGTTAGGAATGTACATTTGTGCATAATTTAGAATTCCTAAAAATGATTGAAGTTATTTTGTATCTTCTAATTTATCTGGGTAGTCTAAAATTTTCTTTACTATATGAGGCTGTAGTCTGATTTTTCCATCTCCTAACTCCATTCCTAAAAATTCTATATGAGGTTTATTCAATACCATTTTCTTTTACTAATTATTATTCTATTGTTTATAAATTCTTCTAATAATATATGTAAATGATCTATGTGACTATTTTTATCTGGGCTAAATACTAATATATCATCTATGTATAATACAAAACTATATTTGTTGAATATACTATCCATTTCACGCTAAAATATGACAGGTGCATTTTTAAGTCCAAAAGCATGACTAGCCATTCATAATGTCCTTGTGGGCAACAAAAGGTTGTCCAAGGTATGCTTTCTTTTTCCTTTTTTATTTGCCAAAATCTGGACTTGCAATCAAATTTGCTAAATATTCTTGTTGTCTGTATTCTATTTATAAGCTGATCTTTATCTGATATATTGTATTTATCATCTTCTGTATTATCATTTAATCTTTTATAATTTATAACCATTTTAGCTTTCTCTCTTTTTGTTTCTGCATGATTTCTTACCATAAATGCGACGTTTCTATGTGGACTATTACTAGGTCGTATTACTCCTAAATCTAATAATTCTTTAATCTGTATTCTAAATTCTTCTATATCTGCTGGTGTATGGTCTATTTGTGCTTATGTAATCCAATAATATTTATTTTTTATATCTAAGCTAGCTAAGACTTTATTTCTTTCTCGGTATTTCATGGGCTGTTTTCCTAAAATTTCTGTTGTTTCAGTTAATCTTATTATTTCATCTAAATCATTTTATGTTTTTCTGTATATTGGTTTTTTCTTCAGTTTTCCTATTTTTGCGGAAATTAATTATAAGTTAACAATTTGTTGAAAATCTTCTAAACTCCAAGAGTCATATTTTTATAATTCAAAATCTTCTTTGTTTTATAATTCAAAATCTTCTATGTCTAAATTTTCTAAAAAAATATTTGCTATCTCTTCATTTGGTATATACTTTTGGGCTAGCTCAGGAAAAATATTTCTACTAGGAAATAAAAAACTAGCGAGAACAGAATCTACTCTTTCGCATGCAACTCTGATGAATGAGCAATGGTGCTAAGGGCATATGCTGTGGGTGTATGTACTGTTCATTTGAAGTAACTAATGCTGCTATGGCTGATAAACATGCCACCTTGTAGACTGAGTATGAAATTAAGGCCTAATATAAAGGGATGGTTTTGTCGGGCATTCCCAATCCAAACTTGGAGTAAAGGGAACCATTCTTTATGTTGAGTTTGTGAGCCTATATGATGAAAACTAATTTGTGCTCCATTAATGCAATGTGTATATGTCTGTCTAGTGTCATCGGCTATACTGACTAAAGCTGGGGTTGTGAGGGGCGAACTCTACCCTAGTGGAACTATATGTTGTTCAATGTATAATTTACTAGCCCCGGTATCTATCAGGGCATTTACACTACGAGTTTTTTCTGCAAATTTGATTACACAAGAGATCTCAACTAAATTTAATTTGGATATAACGGGGTAATTAAATGGTAAATATGCTTTGTCAGACTGTGCTTGGGAATATTGACTAAAGGGTTGAGAATCAACTAGGTTGACTAATTCTAAAGTGTGCATATATTTTTTAACAAGTTTATCTTTTAAGGGGTATCTAGTATGAAATTGTTCTAACTGCTGTTTAAGCTGTTTATTTTTTGATTCTAAGCATTCTATGTCAAAATTAGCTTGAGTTTTTATCTCACGTATTTGTAGTTTAAGATTTTTTACTTGTATCTCGAATTCTCTAATTGTTAGGTGTAATTCTTTGTTTTATAGACTATGATCTTCTCGTATCCCTTCGTTATTTTCTAATGTTATCTTGTGTGCCATATTTAATTTTTCTAAACAAAATGTACAATCAGTTATGCTGCATAATAAACATTGAACTCTTTTATTTTTAGCTATAAACCAATTACAATAATTGCATCTAGTGGTATCAAATCCTAGTCCAATCTTAAAGTTATGTTGACATTTAGTATCTGGATTGCATTCCATCATCACAAAAGAATTATTATGGGAAGAAGATATTCATATTTCTTGGTTAAGTTGTCCTAAAAGATTGTCTATATCGGTATCACTTTCTGAATCACTATTTGAGCTTAGGGATTCTATTTGATATTCATAATTACTGACTATGCTATAAACGTCCGAGTCATCACTGCTTATGCTTACTATATTTTCTTCTAAATTTTCTATAATATGTAATCTTTCTATATGTTTATTAGTATTGAGCTTATGTCTTTTTGGATAGTTTTTTGCAAAATGATTAGGTTCTCTACATATAAAATAATTGCATTTTTTACTACTAGATTTCTTAACATATCTTTGTTTTCTTTTATCTTTCTCTTCCTTAGGTAATCGCTTATAATTTATTATATTAAAAGTTCTACTCTTTCTAATGAATTTTTGTTTTCTCTACGATTTCCTATATTTTTTCTTCCAATACTTTTCTTTTTTATATTTCTCATAATTTTTGTATTTTTTCCTATTATATTTATCTTCATATTGCTGAAGAGTATATATTATGCTACTACAGAAACCATAGTTTTGTTTTTTCAAATCTTTCTGTATTTTGACTTCTATATATTTTTCTTTAAGCTTGTGAAATGTAAAAACTATTCTAGGTCCTATTCCTAAAGCTCCCCTTATATTTACTTCTCCTGAGGCTATTCTTGCTGGTAAGTTTGCATAATAAATCGACCATTTATTTTCCATCTCTCTTCCTAATTATCTTGGTAATTTCCTAAAATATTTATTTTCTATTTCCTCATCAAAACTTTTTATAGTTCTAGCTGCTATGGCTAAATATTACTAGGTACAACATATTTTCAATTTCCTAATATTATCTAATCTAACTCAGTTAATGCTATGCTTTAAGTATAATCATTTCTTCTAAAAGGGTTGTATCCTATATGCATTTCTTTTATAAAACTAGTAAAATTTCATGGGTTATCTCCTAATCCTTTAAGCTGTCTAATTGTCTCATCGTATTTTCCTTTAAAAATTAAATATCTATTAAAAGTTGAATCTGTTAAAAGTGTTTCCATATATTCCCACATATCAGTTGATTCAAAGGAATTGTTCATCCATACCTTTACCGCATCATTTTCCTATTTCTCTATTACTTTTTGCCATATCTGTGGGTCGAATTAAGCTAAGTCCAAAAAGGTTCCCTGGTTGGTAGCTGGTTGTAATTGTATGCTCATATTTGATTGTCTGCGTTTTCTATGAAACTTATACTGTTTATTAGGATCTAGTTTACTACGTCCTGTATTAGTTAGTGGTCTCCTTCCTCCTACTTCATTTTGCATTGGTTCAACTAGTTTTTCAACCGTATGCCTTAGGTTGCTAGTTCCTGTACTTTCTGTTGTTTGAGTGTTCATATAAAAAGTGTCTTCTAAGTTAGATTGTTTTGGTATTTTAAATATTTTGTTAGAATGTATTTTATCTTCTAAAATATCATCTACATATTCAGTATGAAATTCTTGGTCTAAAAATGACACTGCTTCCTCATGGGTATCTCCCATGGCTATATATTCATAGTATCTAGTATCTAATATTTTCCAAATTTACCTCATCAACATTATATATCTTATTTTGTGATATTATTTTTTCTTCTATCATCACATAAAGTTGATTTATGTCACTATGATTATCTTGATTTTCTTCTCTATTTATATTACTAAATTCATCATCTTCAGATTTTTCTGGTACTACGTATGTATATTGAGTAAATCTTACTGTATAATTTCCATATGCTTTTTGGTATAATAAATTATCTAGAAGGGCTAACCTATTTTGTCCTAGGAAGTCTCTTAAATTCCAATCTAGCGTTGCATTGTCTTCATAGCTATATTTTTTAGCTGGTAGTGCCTTTATCCCTTTTGCGTCTAACATCTTAACTATTTGATAATGATAATGCTTCAACTGGCAACATAATTATAGAAAATATTGTTCCAATTATCATCCAACTTAAAATAAAACAAGCTAACATTATTCACTCTAAAATGATTATTATGCACACATAATCAAACTATGAAAAGATAGGTGAATTTGTATTAATAGGATACAGATCACAAAGCAAATATTAATATATTTTTAATGTGTTCATCTTCGATGACATTATAATCGATAATTTTGTACTCAAATCTAATCCGATTTTCATGATTCTTGATTCGACGAGTTCATCTACTAATCTATTATCACATCTAATGCTAAAATTGCAATTCGGTTTAAAGCATTTTTCTAAAACACTTCAAAACATCAACAAACTTCAAATAAAACTTATTCTGACCACTATAGGTTCAAATCCAAAATTCTCCCAAATGCATCAACTTCATGGACCATGTAAATACTCATTAGAAAGCTTAGATAATATCCTTCAAAACCATCCAAGTTTCATTGAAATCCATTTAGTGTAGCTCAAGTTCTTCCCAGATGAATTGAGCTTAAAAACACACCTAAAGTCACCAAAACAACCTACCTTCCTAATTCCCCATCCAAGCCTCGCTCATCTAGCGTTATTAGCCGTCGATAAGATCTAATCTAACGGCTTACATGTGAAATTTCATAAAAGTTGCGATCCGCGTGAGGGTTCATTCGACCAATGAGCGTTCAGTTCCTGGAGACGTACGCTTACTATATATAGATCGATCATTCATCATCGTGTCACACCAGCGAAAATCCCAGTGGATGTTATTCGTATAGATCTATTTTGTTAAATTCTAAACCCGAACCCTAGTCGGTTGATCATCAAATGGCGACCGAAGAAGCAGTTGTTGTGGCGGTGGAGTCTGTTCCTGATCTGCCGCTGGTGGTGGCGGCGGATGAGGCGGCGGAGGTGGAGCAACCGGTGGCGAAGTCGAAGAAGGCGAAGGAGCCCAAAACAAGGAAGCCTAGGAGCCCTCCATCTCATCCCCCATATGTTGAGGTAGTAAAAAATGATCAATTGTTCAATTTCATTCATTCAATTCGTTTTTTGAGTTTATGATTTGGAAATTTGGATCTGAGATTGTGATGTTTTGATTGCTCTGTAGATGGTTACCGAGGCAATTGTGACATTGAAGGAGAAAAATGGATCGAGTCAGTACGCGATCACGAAGTTTGCAGAGGAAAAGCATAAGAATCTTCCGGCGAACTTCAAGAAATTGTTGTTGTTCCATTTGAAGAAGCTAGTTGCATCTGGTAAACTTGTGAAGGTGAAAGGCTCGTTTAAGCTTCCTGCAACTCGGCCTTCTGTGCCGAAGCCTGTTGCTAGTGCTCCAGCGAAGAAGAAGCCGGCTCCAGCGAAGCCGAAGACTGTGAAAGTGACGAAGGAGAAGAAAAAAGCTCCGGCGAAGGCGAAGGCGAAGGCAGCTGTTCCGAAACCTAAACCTAAGCCTAAGCCTAAGCCAGCCGTGAAGGCTAAGTCAGCTCCCAAGGCCAAGCCGGCTGCGAAGCCGAAAACTGCTCCTGCCAAGGCAAAGGTAGTCGCGAAACCAAAAGCTGCGGCGAAGCCTAAAGCCGTGGCAAAGCCCAAGCCCAAGCCTAAGCCCAAGGAGAAGCCGGCTAAAGCTTCGAGGACGTCGACTAGGACATCTCCTGGAAAGAGAGCTGCGGCTCCTAAGCCGATGCCGAAGAAAGCCCCGGCTAAGAGCGTGAAGCCGAAGACAGTGAAATCACCTGCAAAGAAAGTAACGGCGAGGAAGGGAAGGAAGTGAGTGTGCGAGGGGTTGTCCGTAAGGATAGTCCTGTAAATTCGTTAATCTTTATGGGTATATTCCCGTAAAAATAGCGTCCGATTTTTCTTTTTGCTCTTTTTGGTTTTTAGGGTTAAATCAAAAGTAAAAGTGAGTGCTAGTTGTACTATTATTCAGTTCAATCGATTATGATAAGAATCAGAGTTCTTCGTTTGAATCCAGCGTTTTATAGTTCTCTCTCTGCGTATTTCTCTTGGTAGTTCGCTTTATGTTTTGAAATCTGAATGGTTAAGGGTTTTGTTGGTTCAATGTGAGTATCAGAGCATGTCAATTGGGAATGGAGATGAGAATTCGTAGCATTGTTAACTACCATTGGCTTGGCGTATCTGAAAAGGAGGCGAGGCGTCACTTAGACTCGCTGGGGTTGCGTAACTGATGTTTTGATATGATGATGGAATTGGTAGGGTTCTAACCGTTTAATTGGATGATTGATCTTTGGTTTTTAACATTTTCTTCACGGAAGCACATTATGTCTAAACTGCGTGTGAAAGATTTCTATAGTTGGTTGATAGTTTCAGTAACCTGTTTGTAAGTTACATTTAATCATCCTGATATATGGCATGACAAAGATTTCATTCATGCAATAAGCCAAGTTTGGGAAGACTAAAAAAGTGTACTTTTTGTCTTTTTGGACTAAAAAATTGAGGTTGAAAATATGGATGTTTGGGTTAACTTTTTGACTTTTTATTGAAAAATGTGTAATAAAAAATTTTTAAAATTGATTTGTAGAGAAAAATTTGAATTGGGAGTTGTGCAGCCGTAATTGTTGACTTTTGGTGAATAGTGTTAACTTTTTAACTTTTTGAGTAACTTTTTGACTTTTTGACTTATTTGGGACTTCCCAAACTTAGCCTAAAAGTTGAAATGATTAAACTTTATTTTAATTTTTATCATTCATGACACAAGATTTATTTTCATCCAGAAATATTTATTTGGAAAGCTTGATAGTTCAGGAATTTTAGAGCTGAGACATTAGGTTGGTGACCTAAAATTTAATCAAACTTGGATGTATTTTCATTAATGGTTATATGGTAATTGAAAATGTATGCTTTTTTTTGTTATTTTCCCCATATTGCAGATTGGTTAGATACAAGTAGAAGTGACTAGGTATGTGGCTGAATTCGTAGCCAAGGAATACCAAAAAGCTTCTTGAAACAGTTTTGAGGCTTATTAGTTATTTATGGGCAAGTGAAGAAGAGAGAAACTTCCCTGTGCAAGGTTTATATTGTCATCGACAAGTGAAAGTCTTTGAAAGCCACTGTGCGTCTTGGATGTTCACACATTTCAGCTGATGATGAAAATTTTTTATTTGGCAAGTGATATTTCACACATTTGTTAGCCTTTGCAATTGATCCTATAAATTAATAATTTGCCTTTTCTATACATTTCGTTGAGTCTTCCTAACCATTTGGCAAAGCTTCTGACTTGGTTTCACTATTGAAATTGTTTTCAGCATTTCAATTTTTCTTAATATATTTTGTGCTCTGATCATGTCCTACTCCCCGTATCACATTTTTTTTTATGCTTCTCCTGTAATGTCTTAGCTTCCATTGAAGATTGAGATCAAATTGTGCGCAGAAGGATTTTCCAATGATTGGGCTTTCGGCATTATATATGTTTAAATGTTTTAGAGTGTTCCTTGATTTTTCTGTTCTTTTTTCATTACTTATGGGTAAAGCATAAATACTTTGTTTAAATACTTTTAAGGATCAAAAGGCATGTTCTTTTGACATGGGTTCCGTTGCACAATGTCATCTTCCTTCATGGCTTTGATTTGATGCTAGTCTCATGCCAGTTTTCATCTCAGACGAGCTTTTGTTTTATTAGTAGTTTGCTGTGGGCTGTATGCGTCACGCATGAGTATTATCTTCTTAAGATTGAGATTTTTCATTTAATGCAGACAATAATCCAAGTTTGTTCCAAGTGCCTTTACGCTGTGTTTGGTTGGGGGATTTGGGAAGGGAAATGGAAAGGGAAATGGAAATGAAAGGAAAAGGAGAAAGAATTAATAGAATTCCAAATCCCAACTATGTTTGGTTGTGTTGGTTATAAAATAGAATTGATGTCCTAAAAGGTCTCCTATTTCTTTAATTATTTCTCACCCCCTTTCTTTTCCCATATATTTTTTATTATAACCAAACATAAATATGATTACATTTCTCATTCCCTTTCCAAATCCCACCCCAAAAACCCCAACCAAACACAGCATTAATGTTCGGCAACTATGAGTGGTGGCAAATGTTTTTCTGGATATTGTTAAAAAAAGAGGCAGTTAGTATAATTTAGAAATCAATGAAAGGTGTAGGTTAAACTATTAAATATAGATGGCACCCCAAGTAGCTCAGTGGGAACATTTATTAGTTAATAACCATTAGTTTGCTATTTAAAAATGAAATTATTCCTTATAAATAGTTCAAACTGAATTGCTCTTCAAACCGTTTTATGCCAAATAAATAACCTAATATATTAAGAACTCCGTGGGATATCTGTGAACTGTATACATGCATACCTAGTTACATACACTACTGTAGTAAGTTTGCTTGGGTCATGGATCATGGAAATGCTCATGTTTTATGAGTTCATGGTATTTGTGTGCTCATCATTTTTGTTAAACTTGTCCACGGATTTACTGAGGATGAAATATGGCTGAAACAATGGTTTAGTTGGGCTTGGAATCTTTTATATGGTCTGCTGATTTGTTTACAGATTTTTTACTAGCTTTTCACATCCAAATAACTTGATCTGAATGGGTACAAGTGTTAGTTGCTGGTTTAAGATGAGCATTTTGCAGATTTGAAGCAATACCAGGATACTAGTGTTTACTATTTTCAAGAAATCATTGATGATCAATCGAAGATTTCCACATCAGGAGATGGCAGAGAACTTGGATTAAGTTCTATTGAAAGTTTGCACAGTTTGCATCTTCTCCTGTGCTTGTCTAAAACTTTCAGAACTATCTTAATTGGGTTTGCTGTAACAATGTTCTAAATTCCAATTATGCTGGTAGTAATATATTGCAGATTTGGTGTATTTGCAAGAGGTGTGATGCTGATGTAGAAGAATGATTTAAACATTTATTTGTCAAGGGTTGAATGAGCTGAGATTGAGTTTTCTCCAGGGAGCTCTATACGGAACATGCTTTTGTTTCCCATCTTCCTATGGCCATTTAAGTATAGTCACTGGCGCAGCTGGATAGACAAGGACTAGTTTTTGAAAATTTTCAATGTAGGGGAACATGTGCAGTTTTTTACTAGAACTATCTTATGAACTATTTATTGTATGACTATTTATTTGTTTGTGATGAATCCAACTTCTATGGTTGATATTTCTAAACTTCTTTTTTAATATATATATATATATATATTTTTTTTTTTATTTTTATAAATGATATTTCTAAACTTCTTAGTTCTGTATTATTTACATTTGTTGAGGCTGAGTGTTGGAGAATGAAGTTGGGGGTTCTATTATGATATGGTGTTTTCACTACATCTAAATGGCAATGGAGGAAAAACATTGATGAGTTTCCAAACCTTCCTCTTATCTCCATAAATACCTTATTGAGAGATGTTATAGCTCGGAAGTTATCCGGGCATTGGTTGTTAGTGAGGAATAACCAATCTTTGGGGTTATCTCTTTTTTATGTGGCCAATTACTACTCGACAGCTGAAGTTGAACATGGTAGGTGCAAAAAATTAACTTCCCTGAGGATGAAGTTGGGAGATATGTTTAGATTCATCTTTCAGATTTTTAGTTTTAACTAGATGCGCCAATTTTGAAACTGTGAAATCGACTTATCGTCCGTCCACTTGGTAGGGATATGACAATGTGCTTCATTCTATCATTCCAAAGGAGGTCATCTGCATGTAAATTCATTGAATTTGCACTTTCCCATGGGAGTGCAAGATCATTAGGATCCTGTTTCCTGCATATTTTTACCAGTTATGTGTTTGGTATATTTCAGGGGAAGCTTAAACTTATGAGCGAAACCCAAAATATAATTATTGTAGTTCCCTGCTGACAAATTGAAGCACGAAGTCTGTATGTTTTTCCTTTCACTTTTCCCATCGACCCTCATTTTTTTTCTTTTTCTTTTTTGTCTTTTTGTCTTCTTTTTTTGGACTACTTTTTCTGAGTCCTGCTTCTGTTGCTCATGCCATTTGTTTACTTAGCTTTCTAGAGTAATCATGAATCAAGCACCATGTAAAATACCTCTGCTGCTGGTTCAAATTTCAGTGTGCTATCCATTATGACTTAAAAAATTGGTGTTGCCTTTCCATTATAGAAACAACTGTAATAGTTGACTTTTGTTACATATTTCAGGAAGTGCGGAGTCATTTCTTCTACATTCTCTTTTTAAACTCATCAGATATCAGTTTATGGACATTGCTTTCAAATTTTCTAATAGGTCTTATGTGATTATTTAATGATTGACAAAATATTTTTGATTCTTTTGGTATGCTTCATTTCTCTCTGCCATGCATATATTATTTTCGGTTAGCTTATGAGACTTTTACTTGTTATTAAGCTTTTCCAATATGGGCTATTCGTACTTGTAAAATATTGTGGGGATTGAAAGACAGAACACAAATAATGCTTGCATCTTGATAGTTGTGATGTCTACACTAGCATATATGCTCATTATTAGGAATTATTTCAAAATGAGTTACTGATTTTGCAATGGAGTGCTACAGTTGCTTGTTATGTGTGATATTCCTAATAGTTCTTATGATTAAAGCTTGGAGGCAGATGAAAGTTCTAATTGGATAGATCCATGAGCTAGTAAGGCGATCTCTCTCTCTCTCTCTCTCTCTCTCTCTTCTTGTTAGATTATGTAATTAATCTTTACCTAGAAAAATTGGTACAAGGCTCCATTGGGTTATTAAGTAAAAGGCAATGGAGGAAAAACATTGATGAGTTTCCAAACCTTCTTATCTCTATAAAGACTTTCCTTACTGAGAGATGCCATAGCTCTGAATCTGCATACATAGGGCATTGGTCCCTAGTGTTTCTTTTAGAATGCGACTAAATACTAGTTGAAGTTGAACAATGTAGGTGAATTTGCTAGCTGAAAATTTTACTTTCCTTTCAATGAAGTTAGGAGATATATCTAGATTCATGTTTCAGGCTGGGGGGAATCTGTTGTGAAATTGTTGCGTTTGTTTGACTAACCTAACCTATATCACATTAAAATCATATTTATTTCACCAAAATAATAATAGATATTTCTTTAGTGCAAGTTATTTTAGCTTTAAACATCCTTAGAAGATATATTTTGACATTTTTTTCTCAGGAAAAAAAAGTGAGAAAAAAAGGATTAAAAACTTGTCAGGTCCTACTAGATCCACCTGGATCACCAAATGGATAACAAACCATGCATAGGTATTGATTAATTTTAAACTAAGCACTTGTAAAAGTTGTATTCTGGGCTTTTTACAAAAAAAAGAGACGTAAAATGAGGCCAGAATCTATCAGACCCGATAAATTTTCAAGTATCACTTGAATCGTTAAACAGGAATTGAATCATGAATTGAATTGTGTATTGTGTGATTCACCACCGAGCTTATCCCAAAATAGATTCACTCATTACATTTGCATTGATCTATGCATGAAATGTGAATCATAAGATTCTGACAAATACGAATTTTCAGATCAATATTCAATTTCCATTTTCTAATCTGAAGTTTGAAGATAAAATGAATTCTAGTTGTAAACTATAATGTTTCAATACATCCCACATACAATATATGTTCTGATCATGATACTTGCAGAAAATCTGAATCCGTGTCACCTTCAATCTTCTGGGACATGCACCGTAGCAGTTTGAAATTGTATTGGTCCTGCAGTGTAGATTTATCGTTTCAATCTTTCAACTCTCTGGATGGAATACTTCAGCTCTTGTTGAATGTTCAACCTTGAAGGTGACAGCACAATGTCTTTCCAAACTGATCCAGCTTGATAAGCTGGGTTTGGGCGCTTGTAAAGTTCATATATGGAGTTTGCTTCATCATTCAACCTGCCTACCCTCTTCAAACAGTCTATCTCATCTGGATCAACCAGCAAAGTCCTCTCTCTGTCTTTCCATCCTATCAACTTGACAATCGTAATTCTGTCAGAGCTACATATTTAACAAAGGTTGTTATGATGTATGATTAACTGCTTAGCATAACTTGTGATCTGTTCAGATGGCAACATTGTTGTATTAAATCATTTATATGGCCAATCCAAACCTTGAACCTCTGAGCTGCCTAGCTCATGGATAAAGTAGCTTGTAAAATACATGAAAAAAGGAAATTAAGGAAGTTAAAATTAATATTTATAAGTAAGCTGGGCTTTTAAAAAATGATGAACACACCTTGCTTGACTCAGGTTGGATACGCTTTAGAAACTTTATTATACGGCATGTGTAGTATTTTCTGTGTTCTTTTTTGTATTATGTTCAACAGTTCGGAAAAGCTGAAGAAAAAGAACCAAGAAAAAGGGAGATTGAGGGGTGAACCTTAGGTGGGCCACCCAAAGCATTGGTGCAGTATAGCCTAGCATTGTCTACTTGTTGGCAGTATGTTGTAAATGCATCTGCAAATCTCTTGTGTGATTTTAACTGTGATTTCACCCTCACAGCTCTTCTGCACATGATAGCTCTCCTGTAAATATTCAAAAAATTAAATATTTTTGTTTTAACAATATTCCTTTTCACTCCCTTATAACAATACTATTTTCTTCTCTTATACCAATACTAACTAAGAGTTAAGAATGTATAACTGTCAGCTGTTTGATTTTATTCTGCAAATGGTATTTTGTTTTGGAAACAAAAATAAAATTGTATATGTTTTTGGAAGTACATCTGGAAATGCATTTGTAGGAAATTTTAGGTGGAACTTAAGAAATTAGAGTCCATAGTTTTGTTTTGCCTACTCTTTCCTAAAGCAAAGAAAATAGTTCAATTAGACATTTACTTGATTTTACATTGGAAAGAAAAGGAAAAGTTTAAGAAGGAAAGAAAAGAAAAGAAAAGTGATACTCCCAATGGTAAACTGTCTAATTTGACGTACCTTATGCCTCGAATAACAGCTAGATAAGCATCACATACAACTCCAACCAACTCTATCCGGTATGGTCTTCGCTTCTTAGTTTCATCTTGTTCTCTTTCTTCTTCAATCTGTTCCCAGTAGTTTTCAGTTACAACTCCATCTTCTCCCACCTTGTAACCAGCCCCCATGCGGTAACGGCGACGGTGAACATTCCTAGCCATGGTTATTGTCTGCACAACAAAAGGAACCCAAGAGAGTGTACCATCCATGATCACATCCCTCCCTTCATTGAGTGCTGTTACCAGGAGGGATGATGCTGCATCGGTAGATGATTGGTGCACCTGTTTGGAGTCATTTGTTGAGTTTTACTATCTAAGCTATTACAAGAACATAGCATGGTCAGGGCAATGATTAATGACGTGTACGTGGTGCGACTGTTCCTTTCATTGCTAGTAAAGAAAGGATTTTGTAAGTGAAGCAGGTGAATAGGTTGTGGCCCTGGTGGGTTAAATATTAATACATATATAACAAAAAACTCTTGAAGCATTCAAACACCATGAATCAAAGCAGCAAACTCAGGGATATTGGCAACACAATGGAGGTCATTCATGAAAGAGAAGATGGAGGAGTTGAATTTCCACCTCAAATTAGTCAATCTTGACTCTTCAGATATGAAGGAGGCAGATTGCACTTGGATGTGGCGCCAATGTCAGGAAAGTTTTCATCCAAATATTTCTTATATAATTTTGTAATGCAGTTCAAATTTTTCGTTTTTCTTTTTCTTACATCTTTTTACTTCTTCCTTTTTCCTGGGTAGCATGTATTTGACTTCAAAAAGTCTGGCCCTGAAATTATTTGCTAGTAATTTACTTATGAACAAATATTTGATAGTGTGATTACTGATAGGATCAATAGTGTCTACAATAAAATCATTCATGAAAACAAAGTGCCTCAATCATGTCATTGAATCTGGGCAGTCATTATAAGCATAAGCATGAAATATCTATACAACTAACAAGGTTATTCATTGATTTTAAGCTGGGAATGGGCCAAGCTTATGTTGAGGAATAGATATAGTTGATTGAAATGATATTCTTCAAAGAAGTTTTAATAAAAATGTTGCTAATGCTGCATTACTTTTTAGGCATGATTTACTCAATTAATGCGAGCATATATGATTAATAAGCAGTAAATAATTTATTGTACCTTGTAGTGAATTTTATCTTGATACATTTTAGAAAGGATAATTAGGTAGAGAACCTTATGTGGAGCAGTTTCTCTCACAGGTATGTGGGTATTTAAGTTTTAATTGTGTAGTAATTGTTCAATACGGTTAAGTGAGGTCTTGTTGAACTTGTTTGACATAATCTTGCTATTCAATGTAATTAATACCTTTAGATTTGCCTTGTTTTCATTGAACTCTGGACATCAGGTGGAGTAATGCTTGTGGAATATTTTTTTTTTCCTACCATTGTTGAAACTGCTGTTAATTTAAATTTCTGGTTTTGCCTTAGCAAGTTATTTTTCTTGTTTGGATCTTAATCCTTGTGAAGGCACAAGTTCATCCAGTAATGATCACTACAAATTATGAGAACAATTTATGATATTTTATTGATATGTTCTTATTAGAATTTTCCTTGATTAGAGGTTCTATTAGTGTGTCCTTTTAAAATGTGAGTTTACAGAGTCAATAGCTTTCCTGTAAATGCTACCACATTTTGACTAGGCAGGGGTCACTTAAATAATTTAAGAGTTTATTAACTGCATAAATGGTCATGTTTTTATCCAAATGATGGAAGCAGCATACCCTGGGTTGTGTGGTAAATGGAGCTGTAAGAAACTACAGCGGTCCAAATATTGTAAGTTGCAACCTAATCATATCATTCATTACAAAGCTAGGCTTTTAAAAACATATTATTTATGGTATTTTTTTTTTGTCTCTTGAAAGGTAATACTTGGGATAGTAATGTTTTGTGGTTTCCTAACTAAACTGTAGGGTTGTTTGTTTTTATCTTTACATTGTTTTTTTGTTGGGTAGATGAGATTAATGTGACAAGTTTTTGACCTTTTGTTGTTATGAAGTTAACAAGCATATGTTCAATACAAGTTTTTGGATGTTTTTGTTGACTTTTACAAATTTGGTTTCATGATTTTGGGCTAAATTTATCGGGAAACTGTTTGTTGATCTCCAAGTTCTTTCTCTTCATCCTGAAGTTCCATCTGCATATTTTTATTGTTTCGTTTTGTCATCTGTATTCTCCCCAGTTTCTTCTCATTACTACTCAATGTTGTTCTCATTGAATTATTGTGCATAAGGTTTGCAAGATGTCCAAGAAACACTAGTGGCTATTTGCGGATAAGTCTATCTACTTGGAAGTTGGAGGCATATTTGGTCACAACAAAATTTGTTTGATTGCAGTCTGCTACTAGCTAGAGTACATAATCATTTTCCTTGAAAAAAATAGGAAAAAGATAGAAGGAACAAAATTCATTTCCAAACAAATATAAGTAGAATAAGGTTCACACGAAGATGAGGAGAGTTGGGAGAGTTACGTAGGTACTAGAGTTCTTGCAAATGGAAAAATAAAAAACAATAATAAAAATAAAAATAAATTGAAAGGTCCATTGCTGTGAGACTCACAACAAAGTTTGTTTGATTGTAGTGTCCTGCCAGAGGACAAAATCATTTTCTTTGAAAAAATTAGGGAAAAAATATAAGAAAAAACAATCATTTTTCAAATAAATATAAGTAGAATAAGATTTACATTAGGTACAAGAGTTCTATTAAATGAAAAATATTTAAAAATAATAATAAAAATAAATCGAAAGGCCCATTGTTGTGAGACTCATGTCAGGGTTTATTTGATTGCAGTGTCCTACCACCAGATAGAGTACATAATCATTTTCTTTGAAAAAATTAGGGAAAAATAAAAGAATAAAAATAAATTTTCAAACAAATATAAGTAGAATAAGATTTACAAGCAAATGAGGAAAGTTGCTTAGGTACAAGAGTTCTAGCATATGAAATAATTAAAAAATAATCATAAAAATAAATTGAAAGGCACACTGCCGTGAGACTCACAAGAGGGTTTGTTTGACAGCAGTGTCCTGCACCTACTAGATTACTGAATCATTTTTTTTTTTTGAAAAAATTAAGGAAAAAATAAAAGAAAAAAAAATCAATTTTCAAACATATATAAGTAGAATAAAATTCACAAGTAGATGAGAGTTGCTCAGGTACAAGAGTTCTAGTAAATGAAAAAAATTAAAAAATAATAATAATAATAAATTGAAAGGCCCACTGCTGTGAAGTTCATAGCAAAGTTTGTTTGATTGTAGTGTCCTGCCACATGCCAGAATAGAATCATTTTCTTTGAAAAAATAAGAGAAAAAATCATTTTCCAAATAAATGTAAGTAGAATAAAATTCACATGCAAATAGGGAGAGTTGCTTAGGTACAAGAGTGTGGTGAGAATCTAAGAAATTTTGGAATTATTTCCAGCAGAGCAAAAACTTGCTCCTGGGAAGATTAGAGGACAGTAGGACTATGATGAGATGCTGACACTCTTTTGGAGTGCCAAGAATGCAACATGCTATTTGAAAGGTGTCTCTAAAGATATGTAGACTAATCTTTTGTGTTGAAGGAGCTCATGACCAACCCTGCTGCAACTGCAGCGTCTACAGGTAATTTGCAAAGTGATGAACTCGATGAGGAAAATACTGTAGACTGGGAGAAGGAGTGAATCCATGAGCAGAACATGCAAGGCGTTTCTTCAGAAAATTGGTTGGTTGTTCCCAGACACGCGCTCGCACACACAGACTTCAGAGAGAGAGCATACCAGTTCAGCTGTTTGTAGCATGTCATGATGATCCTTTCTCTTCTAAAATTAACAGAAAATACTGTAGACTGGGAGAAGGAGTGAATCCATGAGCAGAACATGCAAGGCGTTTCTTCAGAAAATTGGTTGGTTGTTCCCAGACACGCGCTCGCACACACAGACTTCAGAGAGAGAGCATACCAGTTCAGCTGTTTGTAGCATGTCATGATGATCCCCGGAGTTGAGGGCTTTGTAAATGACATCCGACTCTTTGAATGCATCTGCTTCTATGACCACCGCATTCCCTGCAGCTCCTGCCCAGAATGGTCTGTACACATTTTGAGGTAAAACCAATGCAACCTTTTGTCAATTTTTTTTCATAAATTTATGTAAACAAAATATTATTATACAAGTAATCATAATCATATACTACATTTAGAAGTTTAAATTCTGGATCTCTTTTCATATGGAATGATTTTCTTACTCTTTGAGAATGTCCTTGAGTACAGTACTCTTCCCAGCTCCCATCCCACCACCCATGAGCAGGAGGACCGGACTCCTATCTTTGTGGTCCACAGGAGCCATCACGTCCGTACATTCTGAATCATCGACCGGTGTGATTCCAATGGCTTTCAGTTCCTCCACCAACGTATTGAATACTCTTGCCACCTTCAGGTTCTTCGTTACCCTTTGAAATCTCTGTTCCCTATCTCAACAAACAGAAAAGCATAAAATAAAGTGCCAATGTACATTCGTTTTTCTTTTCTAAAATGATTGATGGCCAACACAGGAAAAATTTAAATATTTTCACTGATAGTATGCCTGGAAAGGTTTTTGATTTTCAAGCCCATAGGTTTCTCTGGTAAAGTATCATAATTGAATGAAATACAAAGTCAAGTTGGCATACTAATTTTTTTTTTTTTGCCCATAAAGGCAAGGTTAGTGTTAGAGACTTGTCGCACATCTCTTCTTTAAGTCACCCATAAAGTTTATATAGTCTAGAGACTCCTCCACTATTGTCAATTGATTTTGGATTAGATGCCTCAATTTTTTTTTGAAAACGGTATCACATTTGGATCTTCGATAGCTGTTTGTGCTTGCCTCTATAAGCCACCCAAGCTTATTAGATGAGGGCATTAAGTATATTCTATTAATTGTCAATGTAATTTTGGATTAGAGGTTGCTCGTATCAATGAGGGCATTAAGCAATCATTGGTATATAAATGTGTTTCATTTGTGGGCATGGTAGCCATTTTCAATGACAACTAAGAACAGAGTAAAAAAACCCACCTAGTTGCTGCCATGACATAGTGCTTGAGCTTCTTTTTTGGCTCTGAATCAGCCGCCAACACCTGCCATTTTTAATTTTTGAAAGATACAAATAATGTCAAAAATGTTATAATTCTTATACACGTTCACATATTTGATACATTTTTTACATATTCTGATACACTTTCTATATATCCAGACCATAACTACCGTCTAATAGGCAATGATTAGCATTTTTCTGTAATAATTACCTGACTAATCATATGATGTGCTTGGTTCCAATGAAATGCAAAGTAGCTAAGAATGCACCTCTCAAACTCCTCCACTAGCTTTATATACAAAGAATCCACATCTGGATCATCTGCAAAGAACGAATATATGTTGTCTTCACAATCTTCAGATTTCCTGATGTATTCAGAAGCTAACTTGCAGAGATGTGGACATGCTCTTCTGTCTGCAAATCCCATTTGCCTTGCTGCACCCATTGAGGAGAGAGAGATGAAAACAAGATAGATAGTTTATAGAAAGGCCGAAAAGATCCAAATGGGTATAGAAAAGAAAGAAAGAAATGGATCACATGATTTACCTACATAATGGGAGAACCTCTCGACCTTCCGGACGGGGCTGTTACCGGAGACTTTAATCCTCGGAAGGATCTTTTGATCTCTTAGCTTCTTGAGATGGTAATGCATTGCGGCAGCGATGATGAGGCCGATGGAAGAGGCTAGGAAGATCTGGGTGCAGGTTGGTTTGCCATTGCTGTTGTAATTTGGAGGAGAGACATCCATGTCCATCATGAATGAGGAAATGTCAAACGTACAAAGCTGTGCCCATGAAGAAAAGTAATACATGTAGACAGATTTTTAGAGCCAACGTGCAATAGAGGCTGCCCAGTAATACATCTGGAGGAATTGGTTTTTTTTTTTATTTTTTATTTTTAAATATTTATTTGTTTATTTATTTTAGTAGTTTTGATGTGAGATTAATTTGCATGAAATGAGAGTCAGATTTTTCATTGGATTGGTGTTGGAGCTTTGCCAGGTTAATCGTTGTGTTTGTTTTGCTACAGAGATTAGTGTGACGGCGAGTGGCTCATAGTTTTTCAGAAGATTGCAAATTAGGAGAAGACACGTGGAGTGGTTAAATACTAATCAAAATAAGGTTGGATTAATTGCTGTTTTGATCTTTATTATAAAAATAAAAGAGTCTTTCAAAAACATGACGCAACACACATCTGGTTTTTCTTCATTACGGAATTAATTAGGCATGATGATAGATGAATGATGAATCCTTATTTGGGTTGCACAACAATAAATTAAGTGACAGTAAAAAATGATATATAAATATAATTTTCAAGCACAATTTTCATGAGCAAGGATCCTCTAGAGTCATTTTTTCCTAAAGTTTCCTAGAGTGCTACATTGTGTGGATGAGATTTATTGGCAAGTCACATCAATTTTTCTGATGTGACTTGCCAGTAAATCTCAACCACACAATGTAGTACTCTAGGAAACTTTAGGGAAGTTTCACTCTAGAGGATCCTTGGTGAATTTTCATTCAAAAGTGTTATTGTGGCAGTGATTTTTTTTGAAATTAGAAGCTCAAGTAATAGGTCTTTTGTTCTAAAATAATAGAATAACAATTACATACATTATCTTGCATAAGAATTCTGTATAAATATTTTATTGTATATCATTACTTGGTTGTGCAGAGACAAATTATAATCAGCTTTTCAAGCACAATTTTCTTTCAAAAGTGGTATTGTGGCAGTGATTTTTTTTGAAATTAGAAGCTCAAGTAATAGGTCTTTTGTTCTAAAATAATAGAATAACAATTACATACATTATCTTGCATAAGAATTCTGTATAAATATTTTATTGTATATCATTACTTGGTTGTGCAGAGACAAATTATAATCAGCAAAAATTTATATAAAATTTTGATTTACAATGATGTGCCAGCCTTGATTCTATCATTTAAAAAAAAGAAGTTATTATGATTTATATCTAAAATGTTTTTAACTTCACTTTCCAAACTATGTTCCATGCATCAATTAATATATTAATTAGTGTATCAATATTAATTATGACATTATTATTATTTTTGATCAAATTATGACATTATTATTGATCACACTCATTAATATCATTACAAATTTTAAAAACCTCTTAAATTAAATCACATTATCAATTAATACTAGTTAGGATTATTCTATCAATTAATACTAGTTAGGATTATTCTGTTTCTAGGGACACCAAATTTTTTACCAAACAAATATCTCACATAGCTGTTATGAATCCAACACTACTGACATTTGGTAGAAAATTTGGTAGCTCTAGCATTTTCCGTTCCACTATGTGCAATGGCCTGTGATGTGGCAAATGAACTCGGCCCAAACCCAGAAAATCTCCCTCTCTCTCGTAATCTCTCACACGGTGACACAGATGGCTTTCCGAGCTTCACCTTCTTCTGCAGCAACTGCTATTTCGAACACTGTTCGAAGAGGTAATCTTTCGTCTTTCAGTACTCCAAATCCCAAATTCACAACAAGAAACTCAATTCCAGAAATCCCAGAGCAAACCGCAATTGAAAAGTTGCTCAAAATAAACTGTAAATCAGGCAATATAAACCTCAAGGATGCGTTTAACTTGTTTGATCAGATGCTTCTCATGAAACCCATTCCTCAAATCTCATCATTCAATCTCTTGTTAGGTGCAGTTGCCAAAATCAAGCATTACAATCATGTAATTTCACTGTATAATAGGATGAGTACATTCGGTGCGTCTTCCAATTATATTACACTAAACATCTTGCTCAATAGCTTTTGCAATTTGAATCGAGTTGGGTTTGGTTTTGCTGTTTTGGGTGGAATTCTAAAGAGGGGTTATACTCCAAATACTGTTACTTACACATCTTTGGTTAAAGGGTTGTGTTTGGTAGGTAAGGTTGGGGATGCAGCCAAGTTGTTTGAGAAAATGCTTGAATTGGGTTGCAGACCTAATGTAATTACATTTGGGACTTTGATAAATGGGTTGTGTAGAACGGGCAACACGGGGCTTGCGCTTCACTTGCATCAAGAAATGGTGAATGGGAATGGCCGTCTAAATTTAGAATTCAAACCTAATTTGGTTTGTTATAGCACCATTATTGACAGTCTTTGTAAAGATGGGATGGTAGATAAGGGTAAGGAATTGTTTTTGGAGATGAAGGGTAAGGGGATTTCTCCGGATGTGGTAGTTTATAGCTCTCTAATCTGTGGTTTGTACAGTGCGGATGGGTGGGAAGAAGCCAAAGGTTTCTTTAATGAAATGCTGGATGGAGGCATCCGTCCTAATGTAGTAACATTTAATGTGTTCATAAATGCACTATGCAAGGAGGGGAAGACCCAAGAAGCAAATAGGTTGCTAGAATTGATGATTGAGAGAGGTGTGAGGCCTGATTCTTTTACGTATAACACATTGATGGATGGGTTCTGTATGGAGGGTAGAGTTGATGATGCAATGGGATTGTTTGTTTCGATGCCAACCAAGGGCCATGAATGTGATGCTATTAGTTACAATGTCTTGATCAATGGGTATTGCAAGAGTAGGAGGACAGAGGAAGCAATGAGACTTTACAGGCATATGATTCGTAAAGGTATCAAGCCCACCATTATTACCTATAACACCTTGTTAACTGGTCTGTTTCAGGAAGGCAAAGTTGGGGATGCTCGGAAAATTTATGTTGAAATTCAAGTTCATGACCTGAGGCCAAATTCATGTACATATAACATTTTCTTGGATGGCCTTTGCAAGAATGACTGCCTTTTGGAGGCAGTGGAATTGTTTCAGACTCTTGGAAATAATGGCTTTGAACCAACCATTGGAATTTTTAACTGTATCCTTGATGGGTTTTGTAAAGCAGGAAAGCTTGATATTGCTACGGAGTTATTCTACAAATTGTCTGAGAAAGGCTGGGTGCCAACTGTTGTAACATATTCCATCATAATCCATGGGCTCTGTAAAGAAGGGCAGAGTAATAGGTCTTTTGTTCTAAAATAATAGAATAACAATTACATACATTATTGCTCCAAATGTTGTCACATATAATACACTTATGAGAGGCTTCTGCGAAAATAATGAGGCACCAAAAGTGGTAGAACTGCTTCGGAAAATGGTTGAGAGAGATGTTTCACCAGATGCATCCACAGTCTCCATCGTAATAGACTTGCTGTCAAAGGATGAAAAATATCATGAATATCTGAATTTGCTCCCAACATTTCCTGCCCAGGTCCAACAGAAAGGTGATAGGACAACTGTGAAGTCACAATCATGAGTTTTGGTGGATGATTTGATTTTGAAGAACCCCTGATGAGGATCAACGTTTTTTCAGAAGCGAGGAAGCATTTTTGTATGTTGGCGAAGTCCAAATGGAAATAACACTTAATTTTGAAGTTATTATGATGAGGTCAATCTATAAGTGTTATCATAAAGGATCCTTCTGGTGAATTGTGAAGAGGAATTGAACTGCGAGTATGAGCATCTGTTGTGTAATGCAGAATTACCAAGTCAAGATGTTTGGATGGAAACATAGCGCAGGACACAGCACATGCATGGACACACCTGATATTTCCTCTTACTCTCAAGTCTCATGAACTATGGAGATGATAGCAAAAGCCAATACAGCTGATCAAAAACAGGCGATGATGCATTCTCTACTCTCTATCAGAGTTTTAATGGGATGTCCAGTCACTTGTTTCCAAAAGTCTCTTCAACATTAGTCTTTCAGATTTTGTGGATTGACAATGGACTTTTGAGGATTGACAACAGGAAATGACCTACAGGGAAACCAGGGTTACTGTATTCTTGTAATTTGGTTACCATGAACAATAATGAGGTCCAAAGAATATTCATATTAGAAGTATGAGATCATATTTTTCCACAGCCAAAGTTGAAAAGCACATATGTTCAAAGTTTGTTCGCTCTCAAGGGCAGTCTTTGTGCCTTCTTTGGCCTAAATTGAGGTAAATATGTTATCTGCTAAGAAGAAACAAGAAATAGTCTCTCGATTTCAATGCATGTATGTCATCTACAGTGTACTGATAGCACTGTTACTTTATTTAGCTTCATAGACATTGTTAGACTTTCATCTTGACGAAATATTTCTAGACCAAGAGACCAATGAAAACGCTTTTCTTTTTGATAAAAAATTGTGAAATTTATTGTAGAATGATCATGAGATGAATTAAAGTTGAAAAGGAATGTTATGGAATAAATTGCTAGGTTTGCATTATTGGTATTTTAAAAAATAAATATAGCACAAATATGATAGCATCTATGTAGTTTGCTATTAAATAAACCATATTTTCACTCCAAATTTTGTGGCATCTGCTTTGTATGTTGTATTATGCAAGTTGTTTAAGCTCACATATATCGCTGACTGCACCAAAAGGTGGGATAAAGACTAGAGAAGAGTAGCATCCTTTCTGAATTCTTTCAAAAATTAAATATAATTTAATGTATATCAAATAAAATGCAGTTGGAAACATAAACTCTTAAACAACATTATTGAATGTTTTAGATGTCTGCAAACTGTTTTTACATGACTCTGGTTGGTCGCTAAGAAGGCAGGGAATAAAAGTTGAATTTGCAATGTTATTTCTGTTGATACGGCAAACCTCAAATATTTGGAACCCTTGTACTATGACAACTTGGCTGCTGCCAGGGCAATTGAAGGTGCCCTGGAAATATGTCTGTTCAATAAAAAACTAAACTCCCAGAAAATAAACTAGTTTGTAAAGAATTTGTAACAAAAGAAACTGGAAAAAATCTACAAAAGGAAGCCTTGAAATCTGAGCCTAGCCTGCCTAGCTAATTACCTATGACCTCCATTACTTTCTTTCTCTCCAATAAAAATAGAACCCAAATTATTGATAGACCTTTTTCCTATTATGCAGAACCTAACATTTTTCTCATGATGATCACATGGCTCGGGTAAATTAATCAGAACCTACTCATCTAGGATGCACATGACAGACCATTAGAGGCCGAATACTCTCTGTCTCTGAATCTCCCCTGTCCAAAAGCACCTTATGATGTTTTTTATTTATTTTTGTTTTAAGTGTAATCGTGGTGGAAAGAGACCTTGCAATAGGCTGACATGGGAAATCCAAACAGAGAATCTCCACTGACCATTAGGACAGTCCACCAGCCCATTGTAAACTGTAGAGTCTGTTTTTGATGTTTTCTGGTTATTAACTAACCAGTTTGTGATGTTTTGAATCTAAGTACACAATTATATGTCAAAAAGGTTGAATCCTTAGCTCTTACAGCCTTTATGGCTATGTTTAACAATTTAGGATTAAAATCCTAAACAATGCCCTCTATTTTTTGCATAAGCTTTTTTCAATTGTCAATAGATGGTGTATGATTATGATTCCTATTAAGTTGATAGAATGTGACCTCTCATATGTGCAGAATGAAGACCCTGTCATGCATGCATCAGACACAAACCCTTCCAACAGTGCAATAAAATGAGGCCAAATGAGGCCTATGGAATCTTTAGTTGTGGGAAGAACACAATCTGTTGGCAGGATGTTTTTGCTGCCCTTTTTTTGTTGAGATTTTTTTCTGAGCTCTTCCTAACCACCAGATGGCACATGAATGATGAAAAAACAGTTGTCCTTTCTCTGTGGTAATCAAACAAAGCTGGTCACTCACCAACCTAGCAAGCTAACCTATGAAAGTTGTTTCCAAACTTCCCATCTCAATGCAGTTGTGGAAACATCATATTCTTCATGCTGATCATAAATGATTACAATATCAGGTAACCCCACGTATATTTAATCACGCCCAAATATATTTGCAAGTGTGATAATTGTCGTTTCATTTGTAGACAGAGAATCCCGTGCCCTATGAAAGAATATATAAAGTTTGACAACGCTTGTCTGTTTAATGGTGGGAAAGCTTTATGCCAATTATTCAGATGTACTAAATGATTGGAGAAAATTACTGTCTTCAAAGCAATCATGCATGCAGATAATTTTTACTCCATTGAAGTTAAAGTTGATCTGTTTGTGATTAAAGTGAGGTCCAACTTTATGTTGTCAATGCCTTGTGATTGTGATGCTCAGCAAAATCTGTCTTTAGAATAGATTTTTGTGTTTGTTGTCGATTGCTTTTTCTAATATTGTCAATGGGTGAGTCAAAAAGTAGTGGAATTATATGATAATCCCATATTACTTTGAGAAGAAATACAGGGTAAAACAAAATAATTGTTGTTTTTTTGTTTTTGTTTTTGTTTTGGGAATGGTGCATCCTTTTGTCATAAACACTCTAGTAAACAAAATGGTATTCAGTGCTCCTGAAACAATGTTCACCACGTGAACGAACGGCTTCTGGGGCCATTAAACATTGCCCTAAAAGCAGACTATAATTTTCCTTATCAAAGTCATACCAAAATAAAAGTATTTAGGCATGTAAATTGTCTTTTTAAGATTGGAATGGTCCTTTACAAAAGCAAATTTTAGTGTTTCTTCTTTTTTAATAACTGAAAAGTTATGAACAGTCCCATTGATGTTGTTGCTTTAAGTAAAGGAAAACTAGAGATCAAGACCATCACACCCTTGATTGAATCTGTATTATAACTATGTCTCATAAAATAGAATTAGAATTGATAATTTGATTTGTTTGTTGTTCTTGGAAACTGGATTTTGATTCATAAAGAACAAAAATACTAAGAACTTTAAGTTAAACATGACAAAAGGGTCATCCATTGTGATTGGTGGTAAAGTTTCCAACATATTACACAATGACCCCCAAAATCATCACTTCTTCCCTTGTGATGATCATAACTAGTACAATTGCTTTGTTTTTCTTCTTTCTTGCTCTCTTCTTCTCCTCTTTGTTTTACTGTCTTGCAGTCGGTGGGAGCGAAATGGAAGAAAGAAAGACGTATTGTACAACAGTAAGATTCAAACTTAGGGATCACAATCAGTAAGACACCACCTTAGACCATCTCCAACGCTGAACCAAAATTGATATCATATTTAAATTTTGATGAAAAATGTACTTTTTCATGCTCCAACCGTTGCATCAAATGAATATCAAAATGAGAAATCAGCAAAAAAAGTATCAAACTGAGAACAAGTTCTGGATTTTACCAAATCACTGTTACTGACCGTTGAAGGAGATACATCGGTTGCTCGGCATCAGATTAGGCGACGGGTTTGGACTGTGAGGGGTTTGAACTGGCTGAACTGATGGGTTTGAACTGGTCCGTGGCCTGAGCTGTGTAGGTGAACCGGTCAACCAGCCGGTTGACCATCCGGTCGCCCGGTCTACGCATGAGAATGGTACTGCCTTGAACAGGTTTGGTTTGACAGGTTTGGTTTGAACAGGTAGAATTGTGGACTTGGAATAATTTGAAATAATTTGAAGGGTGATATAAATTTCAATTTCAGTGAAAATATAATTCAAATTGTTATCTTTTATATAAATATTTTAAAATTAGTCGTTTCAGTAAATTTACCGTTGGATGGACAGAGTCTTTTGATAATTTGCCGCTCATATACATATTTTAAAAAGTAGCCGTTTTAATAAATTTACTGTTGCATGAACAGAGTTTTTTTAAAATTTACCGTTGATAATGTGTGCTATAAAATATATCAGTTTTGTATATCAAGATGACAGAGTCTTTTATTTTGAGAAGAGCATTACATTGTATGTTGTGAATTTTGTTTCTTCTGTGATTTTTCTCCTTTGAAACTTTAATTTATATTGTATATCATTCTAATATTTTTTACTATTTTACATATTGTATGTACTGTATTTTTTTTAAGTTATGGAAGATTTTCAAATGTTTGAAGAATCACAAATGTTTCAGCACAACACTGATATTAATTTTATGTCGGAAACTTCGCGAGAACAGAACACGCAGAGCAGTGATAATCATTTCATTTCAGAAACTTCTCGTGTTTCTCGTGGTAAAGCATTTACAATTATAGAAGATGAAACTTTATGTAGATCTTGGTTAGCAGTCTCTCAAGATCCCATTACTGGTAATAGTCAGACTATGGTTATATTTTGGGAACGAGTACTTGTTAATTTTAATTCACAATTGAGTGGTGAATCAAATCGAAACCGTATTTCTTTGTCTCACCGTTGGTCTGCCATGCAAAAGGCAATTAATAAATTCTGTGGTTTTCTTGAACAAATTCAACTGAGGCAACAAAGTGGAACAACTGAGGCAGACATGGTAACATTTATTTGTGTTATTAAATATCAAATTTCTTTTGTAAATGCATATTTGTTATTAAAATTGTTGTAATTTTTTCTTGTAGGTTGCTGAAGCAAAGCGGATGTATCATGTAATACAAAAAAAACACTTCACATTTGATACATGTTGGGATATTTTGCGCCGAAGTTGTAAGTGGGATGAATTTCGAACACAATCCAAAAAGAGTACGCAACATGCTTATCCATGTTCTAATCCACCAACTGGAGAATCTGATGCATTTCAATCCAACTAGAATAATGTTCTGCATGAAGAACCATCTAATCCATCAACACGACCAATTGGTATTAAAGCAGCGAAAGAGAAGTTGAAGAATCAAACAACCCACGATAGTAGATTTGATGAAATGGCTGCCAACCAATCCAAACTGGTTGAAGTGTTATCAACTATTTCTGCTAGAACTATTGAGCGAGATGAACAAAAGGCGATCGACCGTAACCAGAAAGCTGCAGACCGTCGAAGAAGGGCTGAAGATAGGGAGGAACGACTAAAACTCCTATCTATGATGAATGAAAGAGAACAACGAAATGAAGATCATAAAATAATGTCAATGGACATGACAAATTTAAATCCAATGCAAAGGGCATACTACGAAGATCTTCAACGACAAATTTTATTTCGAACAACTAATAGATTACCTTGAAAGGTTCTGTATTTACTGGTTTCATCTATTGGTGTCATCTATTGGAAAAGGAAACGGAAAAACTGTGTACAATTATATGAAATGTCTCACTTGCGTTTTCTATATATGTAAAATGAGAAATTAATTAATTTGTGCTCAGTTTTTGTTTCTTGAGATGGTTGCGATCTATTCTCTACTGATTCTTTGGATACCATATTGATTGGTAAAAACAAAACACACCAATTGCTAAGTACTTATCATGAATGCAATTCTTCTTCATGGATATGTCAGATAAGGGGCTCATATATTTTTTTTTCTTCTACAATTTCCTACAACTATCTAAATTGGTGTTGTTCTTCTGTTACGCAATCAAGTCCAATAGGCTACATCTTCATATTGTTATAGATGATTATAATTCCAAGGTTTTATAATTTCACCCTTCATTCAATCTGCGTCTTATCTTCATCTCAATGAATCTCCTCTGTCTGATTTCTCAAATAAGAATATGTTGTACATGTACATACAGTATTACAGATAACTACTTACATATAAATACATCCTTTATTCTTTTCTTTGGTTACCATTACACCTTTCAAAAACTTTCATACAAATTTAAGTAATCAGAAACATTAATAACATATTACAGATTATGGTATGAGTGAAGGTCAAAAAGATGGTACTAAAGTATTACCAAGGCAAGATCATTTTATATCACATAATATAACAAAATCAGTACATTCATAAAAGAAAAACTCCTAACAAAAGGTTGTCAAAATAATACAAGACAAAACAATGGATTAACATTGTGGCACACCGATCAGCAGTCATTATCTGGTTGTGGTGGAGGAGGGAAGTAGTGATGGTATATGTCATTTACACGATGCTCAATTCTATCAATGCGATTGTTTGCCATGTCATGACGTCTTCCAATGTCCAAACGAAACTCACCAAATTGTTCAATTAATGAGTTCTGTGCAGTGGCAAATGTCTCAAACTGAGTACCCAACGAATTGACCTGATTAGCCATTTGATGTTCCCATTCAACGCGTTGATTATAACGTTGTTCTTCTATGGCCAAAAAATCAGTCCAATATTGAGGTGGTTCAGTTGATGGCATCACATTGACAGGAGGATCTTGTCGACCATCATCTGGTGGGACTTCATCCTCTGAATCTTCTGCAGCATTATCATTTCCCATTAAATTGGCGGCTGCACCAGCACGATTCACAGTATATAGCGTAATGGGTGAACGGATTTTGATCTCCATTTCATTTGCAAAAATAGGTATTAAAATATGGGACCGCATCATGATGTCCTTTTTTCGGAGTGACATTTTCTACAATCCACCGGTGGAGGATCTGAAGATCAGATTTTAAATGTCTTGCTTGTAGACTAGTTCCAGTAAATCTGTTCTGACATATAGTAGTATATACATCAGAACCATTACCGACAATATTAACTAACTCAGCCTCAGTCTGAAAATAGGTATTTTCTTCACCTACCTCAACTCCAATAATGCGTGCCAAAGTAGGAACATCAAACTGTACACCCTTTCCTTTCACATATGAGATAAGAGTAAAATTTCCATCTTCTTCGTGAGTAACTCTTAGGTGAACATAAAAAAGGGATACTAGCCGTGGATATACCTTTTGGGGTAAATTAATTAAATTTAGCCATCCCATTGATTCAAGTTTACTAACTAGTAGTGCATCATATTGAGGTGGCAGATTGACCCTCCTCCCTGTTACAATAGGTCGGCTTGAGAAATTTTGAAAGGCTAGTTCATGACTTTCACTGAGAAATTCATCTGTAGGATATGACTGATTTTGAGGCTGCTGTTGTTCGCGTCGTTGAGGGTTAGAACTTTCACCAGCTTCTGTTCTCACTCTTTTAGTTCTAGGCATGATGTAAATATCTGTTGAATTTTAATAAAAATGTGCTGTAATGAAGTAATTAACATAAACACTATCTTTTAAAATGCTTACTGAAAACATGAACTTAGAATTAAAATGTAGACATGTATTTTTAATGAAGCATG